GTGGACTGCCGCATCCCCAGCTCTCGAATGATTTGGACCAGCTCAGCATACGTTTGCCGTTTGCTAACAATCTTGGCTAGTTCTCCAGCATTTGCCCACACGATTTGAGCAGCTGCATTCACCCAGTCCATCAAGGAATGATTACCTTGTCCAGGTGCATATCTGTGGCTGTTTTGCAGCCATTGTCTCACGGACAGGTGCATGGTGATGTTGGCCAATTTCTCCACATCCGCACCAGAGCACATTACACTATCCACCCCTAGGTCTCGTAACCGCAACAGCCAAGTAGCCAGGGTCTCCCCATGTTTCTGCTTGAACTGTCTCCCCAAGTGAACCAGTTCAACCTGGGTATAGGGGACATAGGTAGTTAACTGGGTCACCTGTGGATCGCCCACCAGTTGTCTGTCTGGTCCCATAGGCTGCTCACGCCTCAATTTCTTGTGCACAACAGGTCATGCCTGGAGATTTACGGTTTCCTCCAACTCACCACTGGGTTGGTCGTCTTCCCCGGTGTGAGGGGCAGGAGTGGCCAGTCGCCGCACATCATCCTCTAGTATATCTATTCATGCTTCCAATGACTCTGCTTTCTGCCTTGAATCTGCCAGTAGCTGCACATCATCTGCCAACAACTCTGCTTTCCGCTTCAGCTCTCGATCAGTTTGCAGCAGAGTGGGCAAAAGCCAGGTTCTGGTCAGCAGAAAAGTGGCCACCAGGCACCACACACTCAAAGACAGCCACATTTCTTCCCTCTCCCAAGGGAAGTTTTCTGCAGTAGTACCTGGTCTATGCTGCCTTGCAGTACAGTGTGCAGCAACCAGGTCCCAGTCAACAGAAAGGTGGCCTTAGAGCACAGCATATTCACAAATACCCACATTTCCTCCTTCCAAGGGCTTTCGGCTCCTGTATCTGCTCAGAGTCCTGTCGCAGGCTATGCCAAATGTGGCATAATTCTGCCTGACTACGCCAATTTGTCTGGCTAGGACAAGGGCTACTGCGAGGTTAAGGCTGATGTCATGAATCCTGCTCACAGCACCAATTGTCTAGCTCTCAATCCTGCTCATGATACCATTTGTAAAGCTAGGCGACCACGCTAGTTGTTGTAGCTATTTTACCTGGTAATCCTGCACCGACTGGGCTGATGGTTGAGCTATAGGGCTGGGTCTTGAGCTCCCAGACCCCTCAAGCCCATTCACAGAGTGGGTCACAAACCCTTCACATGCCAGGCTGGGTCACGAGACCCCCTCCACACCAGGCTGGGTCACCAGACTCCTTCATGCAGGTCTGTGAGCTAGGTAACCGGCCACATGGTCCTTGGAAGCTGCTGGTCTGGAAAAACATGGCTGCGCAGGGCAGACACCCGAAGCAGTAAAACACCAGCCAAAGTGGCACTGCCATACAGGCACAGTTGATCCGCCCCCACACACAATGTTACCAAACCATCCTGAAACGGCTCCGAGGTGAGGGGAGCCTGACCAAATTGTTCCATTTTCCCAACAGGATATGATAGTGATAGTACTGAAGCCTAGTTTTGAGATTGTAGATAATTGCTGCTAACTCCTTTATAAACTTAAATTGTAAATTGGCAAAGGGTCACAAAAAGTGATTACAATGTATAATGTTGAATATACTAATTATTCTGATTTCAGCATCACTTATTGCACGTGGGTATTAATATTAAACTGTGTACCCTACAGATATGTACAATCAATTAAAAATAAATAAAATAGGCACTTGAAGGACAAAAATAAACAACTACATAAAAACAGTGTTTTTTAAAAACTTGATTGTTTCAAATGAATATTAGTATTTATGAGAAAGCTATGCCTGAATATCAGTGGGTTTGCTACATTTTGAAAAGACAAACAGAGTCAGGTCATTGGCAATTGAAGACAGTCTTGTGTTTTTCAAATCTTTATACTTGCCTTATTGAAGTTGTTATTACCTCTACTCCACCGTTTAATAGAAATGATGAATAGTAAAAGCAGACATTCTTGCCTTATTTGTGATCTTTGGGGAAAGAATTGAATATTTCACTGTTAAGTATGATAGATTCTTTTTATCAAATGGAGGAAGTTTCCTTCTAAGTGTGCTGAAAGTTTTTGTTATGAATAGCTATAGAATTTTCTGCATTGGTGGGATAAACTCCACTCTTTTTTACGTATTGCTGGGTTTGATTTGCTCACGTTTTGTTGAGGATTTTGCATCTGTTTGTGAGTTATATTGGATAGTTTTTTTGTTTTGTTTTGTTTTGCTTTTTACCATCTTTATCCAGTTTTGGTATCTGGGTAATGCTGACTTCATAAAATGATTAGGGAAATGTCCCCTCTTCTATTTCTGGAAGAGATTGTATAGAATTAATGTTATGTCTTCTTTAAATGTTTGATAAGAGTTTGTTAGTGAAAGCATCTGGTTCTGGAGGTTTCTTTTTTCGAAGGTTTTTAATCAAGTATGAATTTAGTTTCTTTAATAGGACTATTTTGGGCTTCTATTTCATTGACTCTTTTTCAGTTTTTAATTTCTCCATTTCTGTTATTACGTACTATATTCTTGCTTTCGCCTACTTTGGAATTATTTTGTTTTCTGTTTTCTACTTTGGATTTATTTTGTTCTTTTCTATTTTGTAGCTTAGATGGTTGTATTTTGAGACTTCTTTTCTAATGAAAGCTTTTAATGCTATACATTTCCTTCTAGACACTACTTTAGATGCATTCTCCAAATTTTCATCCTATCTTAATTCCATTAAGGATTGATTTGATTTGATTTGATGCTGGGGTTCAGTCTTTTATGTGGCTGATTTATTCCTTATTTGTTCTTACTCCTAGGGCAACACTTTTCATATACCTCAACTGAACGCCTAGGATGTTTACCAGGGCTTCTCCTGTGTGGACCCTGAACTCTGATTTCTGTCTCCCAAGAACTTTGAAGATACCCAAACTCAGCTTTTTAGCTCTTTCTCTGTTGCTTTCTGCTTGTCTTTTTCAACTCAGCTTGGAAATTAGTGAATATCTTTTGTAAAGAAGCAGGGTGTTTGGCTCTCTTCTCTACTATTCCCTTTTCTCTGTACTCTTGTTTTTTTAAGTACTGACTGCTTTGATAGTTCTGAACTTTTAATTTTTGCCCTCCTGTTTCTAATTTTTGCCTTCCTATCTCCTCCTATTATAAGTATAATTGGAAGATGGAAGCGGGGAGGAATGTGGAGGGTGCCTTCTGTTTTCTGCTGTATATATATATATATATATATATATTTTCTGTGAGTCACTGTGACAAAATGGCACTGATAAACCATGAGATTGCTGGAATTGCAGCAACTAGATGGCTCCATATCCTGGTTAGGACACGGACAAATTTTGATTACAAAGATTCCCTAGAACTCTCAGCCATTTAGTTTCATAGACTCTCTCAGGTCATTTTATTAAATTCTCAATAACATTACTCTGTATTTTGGCAAACTAGGTGTGTGCACATTTGGTCAGTTGTTGTAGAATTGTATTTCTATTATACGTAGGTATATGTATAATTTATCACTTAATTTTTTGTGATCTTGTTACTCTTTGAGGGATATAAGTCCAGACAGTGATCCTTGCATTTAAGCAAGGGAACATATTAAAATTACTTTTTTGATTTTACTTCTGTTTTTGGCATATTATTAGCTATTCCTCTGTGTTTTTGTTTGGGTGGATGTGTGTGTGTGAAGTGGTTGTTACAGAGTTTACAGTATACATCTTTAACTTACCACCATCTATCTTCAAAAAGTATTATATTACCTCATTTATAATTTAAGAACTTTGCAATATATTTGCGTTCCTTGATCCTTTGTATTGCTGTCATACATTTTATTTCTACTTGTTATAAACCTCATAATACATTATTATTTTAGCTTTAGTCAGTCTGTTTTCTTTTAAAGATATTAAAAATACAACATAAATTTCTTTTATTTACCCACATATTTGCCGTCTCCTGTTCTGCATTCTTTTGGGTCCATTCAAATTTCCATCTGATGTCATTTTTTCCTGGTTGAGAAACTTTAGCATTTCTTATAGTGTAAGTCCGCTCATGATGAATTCTCTCTGCTTTTGTTTGTCTGAAAAATATTTATATTTTCCTACTTTTTTCAACATTATTTTTGTTACATATATAATTCAATCTTGACAGTTTTTTTTTATTCCGAACATCAGATACACTCCATTATATTCTTGCTTGCATAGTTTATGATGAGAAGTTGCTGTCTTTTGTATCTTTGTTTCTCTGTGTGTAGTGTTTTTTTCCTCTTCTGACTACTTTTAAGATTTTCTCTTTGTTAGCTTTTCAGCAATTTTATTGTAATGTGACTTGCTGTGATTTTTGTTTTTTTAAAAAATGTTTGTTATGTTTGGGGCACTTTGACATTCTTGAATCTATATGATTATAGTTTTTATCACATTTGAAAATTTTAGGCCATTATTTCTTTACAATTTTTTCCCATTCTTCCTGCTCTCTACCCATATGTTAGACTCTTAGACTATCTGATATTATTTCACAGGTCGCTGGGTTTCTGGGGGTTTTTCTGGTTTTTTGTTTTGCTTTGTTTTGCTTTTCTTTTTATCTTTGTGCTTAACTTTTTATCTTTATTGCTGTGTTTCAAGCTCAATGGTCTTTTCTTCTGCAATGCCTAATCGGCTGTCAATACCATCTGTATTGTTTTCCATTTCAGATATTTTATGTTCATTTCTAGAAGTTCAACTTGGTTCTTTTTTATGACTTCCATTGCTCTCTCTTTCTCTCTCTCAACATGTTTGTGTTTTTCTTTACATCTTTGAGTATATGGAACATTTATAATAGTTGTTTTAATGTCCAGTTCTATCATTCTGTCATTGCTGTGTCTGTTTTTGTTGGTCATGGGTCGGAAATTAGTTTTTAATTATTGCTATAATTTTAACATTTTTAAGGTTGAAGAAATCCTTTTCCTTATTGCATTTTGTTTGTTTGTTTTACTTATTTATTAATTTTTTTTCTGGTCAAAGAATCCAAATCCAGATAAAGAAAAACCTCCTTGTAATGCACAGGAGTTAGAAGAATGTGATGTTTTCTTTGAAGAGAGCTCCAGTTTATGCAGATTTGATGGCAGTACCCTAAAAACTACTCATGTGGTAAGTTCTTGATAATAGTATTTCTAAAATTTTGTGAATAAATAGAAGTTACTCAGATGATAATTGATCAAATACATGGTTTGCAATGATAGCTTGGTTGGCAGTTATTGGCTGTGATAAATCTTATCACTCTATGAAGTAGCATCTTTTTATACTGTCACACCCAATAAACAATGTTGTATTGTTTCGGTACTACTATGTATTGATATATTTCAGTTGGATTTTCTGTGCAGATTTTCTATATACAGTGGTGATCCTGTATTGTATTGTAAACTCATATTTGCTTTTTTCATTCAACATTGTGACATAAGCATTTCCTAATGTTATTTCAATCCCTGGTTTGATGGTTGGATTGTACTGTGGTGGTGGTGTTGGGTGTGTGTGCGTGTGTGTGTGTGTGTGTGTGTGTGTGTTTAGTGGTTGTTCTACATATTATAATATACTTCTTTATAACTTTTTAAAACTGCATTATTCATGATGATGCTATTTTAAAAAATTTGTTACATGAAGCCTTTTCTATACATAGGGATATTTATTTAATGAAGAGTTATATAAGTTAATGAATCATGGGCTAAGCCTCTGACAAATTGATTTTGACTTTATATTTTCATCAGTAATGCCTGCAGTTATTGCCTGTTTCAATGCATCTTACCTATGCCTTCAGTTTTTTGTTTGATGTTTACTAATTGGGGTGCAAGTTATAGGATCCTATTTTAATCTGTGTTTTCTTTTTTAACTATTAACTTTCACATATTAACTATTTCTTTGTGAAAAATTCTTTCATTTATTTGCTTTAGTGTTTTTTACTAATTTGTATGACCTGTTTTAAATTCGGAAAACTGCTATCAAGTGATTTATTTTTTGTTTTTCCAATTTGGAATATTTTTATTCTCCTTTATTCATCTGGGATTTTTTTTTTTTTTTTTTTTTTTGCTTCTCTCTATGTCATGCCATAAGTATATAATTTTTTCCTTCAAAATTGCATTCTGTCCAAAAGTTTTGGGAGGTTTGCATCCAGATACTGAAGAGTATTATTTGAAGTGTCTTGGTGCAGTCACTGTATTCCTCCGGGGTTGGTCCTCAGCTTTGTAGATATAGTTGTTAGTTGTTGTTTCTTTGTTTGTTTGTTTTAATTTAGAACCTTATTAGGTATTTCTGCTTAGGGGAATCCTTAATCATTAATTAATATTGTATCCACTAGAGTGTGTTTCATAGCGTTGTTTATGTGAGAAGAATCTCTGTAACAAGTCAGTGGCTAATTTGGAGCTGTGCATGCCACAGTAATCAACCACATTGTATATTGACAAAATAAAATAAAATTTAAAATAAATAAATAAACAAACAAACAAATAAATAAGTAAAAATAAAAATAAAAAAATTAATTTAGTCTTATTACTAAAACCAGAAGTGGTGGGGCTTTAGGAGACTTATTCCAAGCAAAAGTAACAGAGGATAGAAAACAATCTGATCTTTTGTTATTGTTTTTAGACCTCTTAGTTTGTTTTTTTTCTGAAAGGATCACACTGGATAGACCTCTGAGTTTTTGATATAGGGTTTAATATCTCTGTTTTCAAGAAAAATCTTGATAATTCCTACACAGTTTGGCCTGTTGTTTTTCTTTGTCTTATAGAGGTTTGGGGAAAAGTGTATTCTAGCAGAATTCATGGAAACAAAATTAAACTTGGTTTACTAGATCTAAGTTCTAGCCTAATGTCTTAGTGGTTAAAAGGAAATCTCTAACTGTTCCTTTTACTAACTATCCCTTTTCATTCTTTTCCAAATAATTAATAGCCTTCTTTAATTAATGGCTGGACATTATAGTACTCAAAGGAGTTGTAAAAATGAGCATTTCTAGCTTATAGCTGTGTAGACAAATGAGGTTTAGTGGTTAAAAGGAAATCTCTAACTGTTCCTTTTACTAACTATCCCTTTTCATTCTTTTCCGAATAATTAATAGCCTTCTTTAATTAATGGTTGGACATTATAGTACTCAAAGGAGTTGTAAAAATGAGCATTTCTAGCTTATAGCTGTGTAGACAAATGAGGTTGAATGACATAGTCAATGGCTAGGCACAAGAGCCATTGAAGTTGTACCAAAATTAAGTACTTGCTCTTATGATGATTTCTGTTTCTGCACTGCTGTCTTCTCCACTGTTCTGTTACACCAATAAGTTCTAAAAAGGACATTGACAGCATCTTACTCACCACTGTGTCCCCAATACCTACCAAAGGTTCTGATTCATAATAGGTGCTTAGTAAATATTTTTACACTGATCTCTTAGTGACAGTCGTTAAAATAAAAAAATTGTTTTACGTTATTCTTGGATCTCAAGATATTTGCCTATACCTTTTAGTCTCCCCTTCCTACTCAATCACTCTTCTAATTGAAGAGTAAACAATGTCCTTGGTCAGATTGTCCTAGTCAATCTGGTTACTGATCCAAAGCTGAGATAATCAACGCTGTTTAGATTTTCCAGGAGTTTTTCTTCCTAGATGTTGTTTAGTTCTGACCTAATTCCATAGATGATTCCCTTAATTGTGAGTAAATAAAGGCCATCACACAGCTACTCTTTTTTTTATTGCCTTAGGTTAAATTTTAAAGAATCACTCTCAAGTGTGACTAATAGAAGACTTGAATCTAACTGAAGATTATTCATTCTTGTAATAAAGAATCTGGCCTCTCTTCCTAACGTTATAGTCCTAGGAGCTATAACTGTAAGGTACTGTTTCCTGCCTAACTTTTATAGGAAAAGCATCTGATATTAGGTGTCATACAGTGCTGTTGTTTAAATTTAGCTTCTCTGAGAATTCAGTTCATCTTAGTACTGCTAAGTAATATTGATCAATAGTTTAATGTTGGTCATTGAGAGACCTCCCAATTAATGATATCTCTCTTCATTTCCTATGTTTGAGCATATTAATTAAAACCAAAGAGCGACAGAGGACCAAAACCCTTATTACTGTTAAATTACATTATGAAAGCCTAGTGGATCTACTCACTAACCATAGTGACAGTCAGTGCTAAACCAGGTTAGGCTGTCCCTGGAGAGGCAGTGGAGACCTCTTATTTCCTGAGGCTTCTAGCTCCTGAAAGGAAAATGTGACAGAACAGAGCAGAATATATCTAGATTTTTCTTCTAGTATTTACCAACCAGATGTCATCTCACTCCTCAGAAATTTATAAAAGACTGAATGTTGTAGCAGTGGATCTTTTCAGCATACTAGATGGAAACATCAAGAATAAAAATGAAGTATAATGTATAATAATCAGGGACAATCCTTCCAAATTTGAAGAAATTCTAGATCTGTAGAAATAATTATATTTCATCTTCATTTTACACATGTATTAGATCAAGCTGAGATAGATGAGGTTTATATGAGATCAAAGATAGAGCCAATATTAGAAACCAGATCTGTAGGTTTCCAGTATGCTTTGCCATAATTTTCCCTAAACACTAGGATTATAAATTGCAATTTTGAGATCCTTAGTTACTACAGTCATTTTCTACTTCTGAATAAAATGTGTTCCTAAAGAACGTGAATGATAGACTTCTGTAATAAGCAAGTTTTATCCTCAGAAAGTTAAGAGATGCAAACAATTCCTCATTGCACCATACTTTAGATGGAGTATTTGATGAACATTTCCAGTATTTTGCATATATTTTTAAATTTTTTAATCACAGTTCAGTGTTTTATTGCTGGTATAAGTCCACTTAGTGTATGATTAAAACAGAAGATTCTTATCTTTGTTTCAGTTGGATTAAATTTGAGACCAAAGTTTTTTTCTTTTTATAATTATAGGTACTTTGAGTTTTCTATTATTAGTCATTTTTATAAATATAGACAAAAATGCAGTGAAGTAAAAATGCATAAACATTGTTCTTTGAGTATAAGTAGAATGGATATAAATGGAACAGCTCCAACAAATAAGTAATAAGTTCATCTTCTTTCTAAAGATGGGTTTGGTGTACATTATGTAAAAGTCAAGGTCTACCTGCTCAAATGTAGCTTGTTCAAAAATAGTTTCTTGGTGTACCCTAGAGAGTACCAGTTGGCTTATTACTGGAGGAGGGGAATGAAGGAGGCTGTAATACTTTGTATGTTTTAGTGGTATGTCTACTTTAGGAACCAAACTAATTCATGAACCATTTTTACTCAGAATATTTCTTCTTCCTGCAATGTTTACTTCAAGTTCTGTTTTCTTGATTTCATTTGTCCTGACTTTGGACAGTTTGAAATTACCTTACATGGAAAGGTCAGAATATGTCCTTACAGTTTTAGAAAAAAATACTGTCACAAAAAGGTCAGAACTCTATATTTTAAATGACAGATTTCCCAAAGTATAAATTTCCCTGAAAGAAATGAATATTAAGTTTAGTATTTGCCATTTGGAAAATAAAATGTTAAGTGAATATATGAAGGAGCACAATAAAAGAGAATTATTGAACATCAGAACTGAATAAGAAAGATAACAAGATATGGTCACTGAGGTTTAAAGCTCAAATCAGAAGTCATGTAGAATTGAAAATGAGTAATTTTTGCTTTTGTCTTGAGCTTTGCTGACCAAAGTATTAGCCACTGGCCATAGAGTGGCTATTGAGTGTTTGAAATGTGGCTAGGCTGAATTATGTGCTGTAAGTGTAAAATTACAACTACTTTTGTCTTGAGCTTTGCTGACCAAAGTATTAGCCACTGGCCATAGAGTGGCTATTGAGTGCTTGAAATGTGGCTAGGCTGAATTATGTGCTGTAAGTGTAAAATTACAACTAAATTTTGAAAACTTAGCATAAAAGAAAAGAATATAAAATATCTTAATAGATTTTTATATTAATTTTTATGTGAAATGATAATAGTTTAGATATGTTTAGTTAAATAAAATATATTATTAAAAATAATTTCTCCATTTTCTTTTTACTTTTTAATTCAGCTCTTAGAAAATTTAAAATTATGTTTATGGCTCCTATTTTATTTCTCTTGAACAACATTGATCTGTAGTGATC